CTGTAAACCTGTGACCTCCCCGTCACCACTATGCCCCGACCCAACTATGCTCCGTCCCCACTATGCACCGACCCCACTGTACTGGTTTTTTATATGTTTTCAATTACAGGAATTTGTAGATAAAAAATAAAAAAATATGTTAGCATTTGAATTTTGATTTTTCATTTATTTGTTCATTTGTTATGACATTATATTTTTTGACTGTATTTCTTAATAATATTTTCAGTCGTTTCTACAAAGACGAGTAGTTTTATTGATGACGTGTTACCGTACTCTGTATCATAATAATCAGTTATAATAAATAACCTGTAATCTGAGTAATCTGTGGATAAGAACCGTTTGTCCATCATTATTTCAAAATCTTTTATAGTGACCGCCTAGTTGTTAGAATGTTATCGCCAATTGGACAATATGTCCAATTTTGTTAAATTTGTAATAATTGGTCAATAAATATGAATTTTATGTGCTACCGGTTAGGTTAGGTTTTGGAAAACCGAAGAAATATGATAACTGTTAAGAGGGCGTCGCACCGCCCATTTTTAAGGAGTAAAGTATAGGCAACTTTTTATACAATCTTAATTTAAAGGTTAAACTGTAGCTGTTATTATTTCAATAACTCGGACTCTATTTTGGTAGTTAATTTATTTTTTGGACTAAAATATATACCTAAAAGTTTAGGGAAAAAAAATTCTCAAAATATTAATATTTTCAGAGAAAATGAGTGTCTTACGTTAGTAGTTGGATCACCCTGTATATAATGCAAATTTGATTATGTGACCTATACAATTTTTTTTTTTTTTTAATGTTAATCGAACAAATTACTTGTTTTTTATGTGGGCGTCGTTTAATAACAAAACAAATTAAACGAACCAAGTGGACTTACGAGTCCACCGAAAAAAAAAATATCATATAAGACCATATGATATTTTTTTCTCATTTCTGGTGGGTCGGTACCATAGACCTATAAAGAAATGGACTGATAGTAAAGAGAGAAGTCCGAATATCGACATCGTTAAAAAGAGACAGAGAGAGTTGTTAGGTATGGCATGAAAGAATATTATTATGAAAAATATTCTATCATGGAGAAATAGTAATATGATAATACCCGATAACGAAATTTTCAAATTAAACATTTTTAATTCATCTTATTAAAATCGTATGAATTTTAATTGTCATCAGTTTAATTTCTCATAATGGTTTTCCAGTATAAAATTGGAACTCGACTGCCGCTTTTAGGTACTCTGTGTTTGACCTTCTCATTACGTTCCCGAACCATTTGATTCTTTTTTGAAGTCGACAAATACCTGCCCCACATTTTGTTTGTGTTTCGACTTTTTTTTCTATATTCTACCCAAACACCGACAGCTGCTGATCTATTGTCAATTTCCTCTTTTGAACTTCGCATTGGTACCTACTCCCCTATACATGCTAATAGTATGCCAAACAAAATCACCAATATTTTAGTATAATAATAATTTACCAACAATCAATTGTCTATAGAGTTTGTAAAGAAAAACGGTTTTTCAAAACATATACTTACACGTTTTATGAAAAGTAAAACAACGTTCGTTGATAAAATCTGAATGAAATTGTAATTGTTTTTTTTAAATATTTATTACCGATATACATATCTATTTAAAACAATACATCGTACGAAAGTATATTTGGATACCCGACAAAATAATGAAATACGTGTTATCCCTAAATGCTTTACAACTTGGAATAACACAATAATAAATAAACAATTAAATATGGTTTAATTATTTATGGTCTATCAATGGTCGGTACTCACGAGTACCATATTAGCTATGAACAAAAAATTATTTTTAGTATGTAGTGCTATTATTAAACATTTTATCGGCGATAATAGTCGGCAACGGTTGCACTAAATACATGATTTGGTGTTAGGTTTTGTTATATATATATATATACATATATATAATATATATATATATATATATCTATATATATATATATATACATGAAAACTGCTGATTATATTCGAACATAATATGTCTAGATATACTATCTAATTTTATATTTTCCAGTTTATTCATTACTGTAGTGAAATACTGGTAATTTAACATATGGACTCATAAGTACCGTTGGTCTTTCACGGCTAAATTTTGTTGTTGACTGTATTCAATTTCTCGTCGACTGTCGTGTCGTGTGCGTTTTCTATTCGTTTGAACAGTTAACTATTTTTTTTTTTTTTTTTAAATGTCAAATAATAACTTGCTATTGCAGTGGATAAATCGACTGCTCCGGCGAAAAGGTTCGCACCTCGAGTTTTGTCAATATTGAGATATCACAATCATATGATAAAGAATATTTTTCTGTATTTCCCAAGAAAAAGATCGTACGTCTAGTGTACCAAAGAGATTAGATATTAATTATTTGTACGATTTACCGAAATATCTATTCCCAACGAAAACCGTCGTGTGTACAGAGATACGACGAATATTGACACAACCATAGAACCGACGAGTAAAGTCGTATCTTATAGATTTTAATATTGTTATAGTGATAACGTACGTTTTACAATATTAATTATTATTTCATTACAGTGTATCAATCACAGAAATATAGTTAAAAATCAACCACCAGATCGCAGTCTTAAGTAAAACGCAGAATAAAATAATCAACATAAATGTGTCGATTTTTTTTTATCATCAATCTATACTAGAACTTGTGTTCAAAGACATTTTTGATAGTAATGATAATGATAGTACGTTGGTAATATTTTATTCGATTTTTAAAGTTAAATCCTCGTACGAGGATGTCAGTAACGAAAGGGTTAAGTCTGTTAAATAGAACCTATGAAAAGATAATTCTGTTGTTTTTTTTATAGTTGTTATATTTAACTCTGTTAAAATATAGAACCAGTTAAAAGTAAATTCTGTAATTTCATTTTATTTTAAGTCATTGTTATTACTATTATATTTATAAATTACGAACATACTACTATGTTGTATCAAAAGTTAATTTTTTATTTTGTTATTAATTATTGTGTAATAATGTATAATAACGTGTTTGTTTTATTTAATAAAACGATTTCAAAATAAGGACGTATTAAGTTTATAAAAAAAATAAAACATCACGAATTATATTTTATATTGGTAACAGTTACATTCCCAATAAAATAAGTTGTAAGTATAATAATAACGACTGTTTCCTGTAGCCTTCAATTGCAAAAAAGTTAATTATAATAATAATATTGTAATATAAATACATATTATTATTATCACAATACAAGATGTACGATGGAACCTCCTTCTTTTTAAAAAGCTTATCACCAACGAAAAAGGTCGTAAGTATAGATACTACTTTTGTTGTTATAGCTTATCCCCATCGAAGAACGTCGTAAGTAGAGATAATAGTTTTTTTCTAAGGTAGTATCTCAAAAAAACCCATGAGTCTATTTTTTTTATTTTATTTTTTAGTAACATAAACTCTATAACTTGTATACAAATTTTCAAACTGATATGTTAAAAAAAAGAATAAGAATTTAAATTTGAATGTTTGTTTGGTTCATCCTGAAAAGTTGCAAAAAAAACAGTTTTGAATTTATTTTGGATAATACTGATATAAATTTTGCAAATGTAATACAGCCAGTTATAGAACCTGTGGTGATAGCTGTGCCTACTCTAGCTACTCTACACTAGCTCTAAACTTAGAAAATATTCCTGGCCCTTCAAATTATGTCGGTTCGCCTCTTCCTAAAAAACGTACAAATAATTCAAAGAAAAAAAAAAGAGGAAATATTTCCCCTGAAATTCGTCGTAAACGGAAAAAGATTACTGCAAAAACATTAGATCCATGTTATTCTCTCCCCAGATGGTCCTGTTGATGGAAAATTTACAGGGGAAACTGCAAGTACAACAACAACTATATGAAGTATTCAAAACCATTTTGATAACTAGAGTTACTCGCATAACAACAGAACCATTTTTTATTATATCATTCAATGTGTTATTAATTAATTTAAATGGCTCTCCCATAACATTATATGACAATTTTACCATCTTGCTGACGTGTATGACTTCAGGGTTAAATTTATTCTGATTTATCAATTTCAGTTATATATGAAATAAAATATTTGATATACTTTGTATATCAATCTATATCAAATTGTATTTTGTATGTCTATTTTGATTTGCTGTGGGAAATATGTTTGTTCTTTAACTCTTTAGAATACTGACATGCAATTTACAATACGGTACAAATGAAACGGAAAAACATATAGTCTGATAAAAAAAAAATGTAATCATAATAATATTATTGTCATGTGACATCAGAGATGAAAGAAAAAATATTTTACCTATAAGCATCCTCTTAATATAATATATTGTTGAGTGTCAAAGTAAAGGTAAAATGCCTGTTTCTGACGTTTGAATGATATTGATGATTGTTTTCAAATGGAAAAAGAGAACAAATGATTTCTCCTCGAGCTTGGAAGAATAAAAAACAAAAAGTGTTCTTCAACAATACTAATTAAAAATACAGTAAATCAATAGCAATTTCCTGTAGACAATCATACATGCGAGCTTAGAAAAGAACAATTAAATAGTATAAGGTCTAGTAAAATTGTAAGGTAAGATTAACTGGCACAATGAATGACGACTGCGACTCTTTTACCTTTTCGTTAACCCTTTTAGATAGATCCCGATGGTCTTCTACTTATTTAAATGAGTACACCTACTACTTAATTGAAACGGGTGAATGGTTAAGACGATACAATGGTAATGTGGTTATAGATAATAGTAGCCAATAACTGTAAACGGTCAATAAATGAGTGCATAAAATATATTAATAGATAACATAGATAATATGAAGTGCAATTTGAATAATGTGCAGAATACATTTTCTTACAGATATAGTATTGGTGATTTAAATATCAAATGAATTTTTAAAAAAGTGATTTATAATTAAATATATATGTTGAACATATTAAAATAAAATACATTAATCGTATGAATTAATAAAATAAAAAATCATTGTACACATTGTAATAATGGTAAAAAAATACTCACCCAACATTAAATCAGTTGGATTATTGGTGGGTTATCAAGATCGTTTTTGACAACTTTGTAACCTAAAACCATAAGTCGAAATTGGAATAAATTGGTATGCGTTATATTCAAAAGTTAATGGTACCAGCCCTAAGATGGTTCTGATGAAAGACTTACCTAAATGTTTTGTATTCTGTATGTCAACATTTTGAGTTACAAACATATTTTTATGATCGTAAATTTTCAGTCCTCTTAGAAACATATATTTGTATCTTTCCAAATTGGCAACATAAGCGCCGATTTTTTTTATTTTGTCGTTAAGGCCAATGAGAACCTTAGCTACATCGTCTCTATCAACGAAACTGAAGCTTTTCACGTTGATCATGAACTTCATGTGGCTTAAGCGCATCGACTGAGATATCTTTTCGATAATAAGATTTATAACACCGCTGGTGAATTCAGATCTAGTATCGTCGGAAATAATGGAATACCCGTTGATAAACTCTATCACTTCGGAGGTTTCGTTTGACATATACTTTAGGTATTCCTGTACGCTTTCGGGGAACATTTCCAAATTTATCAACGAGTTTAAATGCTTACACAAATCCTGGGCTCCAGTCCTCAACTTGTCTGTGTGCGAGTCGTACATTATAATGACACTGCGGTCTTGTTTCGTCGTGTCTGCATCGACCAACCTCTTGAGTGCCGAGAGATATTCACCCAGGCACATCGACACGGGTTGTAAGGCAGCGGCCATTACATGTTGCTGGAATGAAATGACATAGTCCTGGTGGAAGATGGGTCGGACCAAAATCAACAGGTCGGTTATACTCGCAAAACTTCGATCGCCAAACTGATAACTTGTACGGACTTTACTCACCATCAACGAATCGTCCAAAATAATTTTCTCGTCGCCGGCAGAGTTATTCTTTGTTTGTCCTTTGTCGACAGACACCATACGCAAGTACTCCGAATCTAAGTCCACCAACGACAAGAATAGCAAACGGTCGGGTTTAAAGTCAAGATACATTTCGTCTCCGAGCGTCGCCTCGAAAATCGTTTCCAATTGTTGTCTGTTGGCCTCCAGTATCGACAAAGCCTTGTTTAATTCGTACAGTTCCGGTAGCGACTTGTTTATCAATTTTTTTATCGCTTCCAATTTGTTTCGCTCGTTCTCGTCGTCTTGGTCGGTGATTTTATGTGTACTCAAGCACTTGCCGTCGTTTATGAACTTCGAAAGCGCTTCTGTCATCGTCTTGTAAAAGTGTTTGTATCCCTTGATGAGTTTATGTTGATGAAATGATGCTGCGCTTTGGTCGACACGCACGCGAAGATTGTCTCTCGTATTGTTTATGTACAAATTCACTCGCATCAGATCGTCCGGCGGTTTCGCAATCGGACTTGGCCTTTCTGAGTTCATCGAGCATGGCCATAACGATATGTCCCTGGGACCGAAGTAGTTGGTCGTAATAGTCCATGCCGTCGAAAGATGATCTGATACCCGCGTAAGAATCATTCTTGTCCGCGATATCGACTCCTACTTTATTTTTGAAGACAATTGCGTTTAGTCTGAAATAATGCAGCACATACCTCGAACAAAAACAGTGTAACTTTTCCGGATAAGTATTCGGTTTGTCGAGTCGTTTGGAAGATTGAGTATTTGGTGCACTCGAAGCCTCGTTTAACAGCATCAACGCAAGAACCACAATTCGCCAAGCCATTTTACATGTATTTTACAACCAACAGTCTTAACATTCGACCAACACACTCGGATATTGTATACTTGATTTATTCCACGACGCACTTTTATTACACGTATTACAAGTTTGGCCTGGATACGTTTATACTTTGGTAGTGACGTATGTTGGTTCAGTTCAAAAGACGTTGTGTGTGCTAGCCACACAGCTATGGTATAAGCAACACAAACGCGCGACTGGGTATTCGCAGGGTGATACATACAGGATGGTCCATCTGATGTGCGACATACAGTTTTTAATTCCATATAAATAGGCAGGCAAAACGTTTTAAACATTTCTCAGGGTTTGAGCTTTTAATTTTCATCAATCCCCCCCCCCCATCCGTTTGCTATGCCGTCACGTTGTAAATATTTGAAATGTAGCAAAACAGCTTCCATTAAATAATAATAATAATATCGAGCCCGCCCGGTAACGCTGTGTTTGAACGAAGAGGTATTTACAAAATAAGTATCCGGTATAATTTCTGCAAACAATAGGGTGCCTACTACGGTTTAAATAAATAGAACACGGTTTGAAAAAAACAACTTGTTTTCCACAGCTACAATACGGTGTTACGGTGTTTGTTTATTTTGCGAACACGCGAAAAATCGCAACTCTACTCGTAAAGAAAATCCAAAGTAAATAATATATGCAAGTTGTTTTTGCAAAAATATAATACATGACTTTTAAAGTTTAAGAGCCGTTAACCGTGTCAACGGTCAATTGGTCACAGGGTTAAAAACATAGTTGAAACAACTAACCCAACTAACACATAAGTTATAAAAAAATGTTTTGACCGTTAATGTCTCGTAAGCCGCTGAACCGATTTCTTCGTGTTACAACTTTATAGATCAGAAATCATACCTGGAAGGTACTTAAACAGGCCAAAAATCAAAAGTCACCCCTTCCCCATCAAAATCGAGAAAAACACCCAAAAAATTTACAAATTTTTCAACTTAAAATTACGATGCTCTATAACTTTTTTAAAAATAGTCGAAAATGTTCCAAATGTATATGAATTGTTCCTTAAACATAGTACTATCGATAAACATTAACAAACCAAAAAAATATCATAAACCCTTTCCCTTAGAAGGGATAGAATTTTTTTTATTTATTTCACTTTTAATGAAAATATTTTCATTATATTGTTCTATGACAGTACATTTTTATAGACAGACGATCAACCCTTATCGCATCTACCCTGCACAAGACTAAATATTAAATTTTAAGTACATTATTGCTGGTCCCACGATGTCTTCTAAACCGCTATAACTGGTTTGAACATACTATCCACAGATTCGCATTGAAACACCATACCTAATTCATGCCTTTTTACCAAGTCCAAAGGTCGACGACGAAACATATGTTCATGTTTGTAAACGTTGAGTACTCTGAGGAATGCATTCTTGTTTTGCCCCAAACTTCCAACATAACAGTCGACCTCGTTAATGTTGTTTAAGGTACTCGAGAAATGTATCTACACGCTCTTCATCACCACTGTCTAACCCTTGTGTGTCGATCGAAAATTGTAAGTTATTCTGTGTCATTGGCTCGGAACACGTGTGAAAAAGCTCTTCTACACGTTGGTGAAAACAACCAGAATCGTTTTGTTCTGGCGAATCTTGTACATACACGGACGAAAAAAACTGCATGACACTGCTCGTCAACGGAGCACAAGGTCTGTCGTTGAATTCCTTTGACAATTCAGAGGTTTCTTCTTCGATGCCGGTCATATGATCCTGTACGCCGGAGGGGAAAATGTCGAACTCGATCAGCGACTTTAAAATGTTGGTCAATCGCTCGTCAAATTGTTCAGGTACATAGTTACTTGCATCAGATCGTCCGGCGGTTTGGAATTTGTTGGCGCCTCTCTGAGTTCATCGAGCATGGCCAAAACGATACGTGCTTGGCACCTAAGTTGTTTGTCATAAAATCGTATGTCCTTCGAAGGTGCTTCAACGCTCGAGGCACAATCATCGTCGTCCTCGATACTTAATCCAAATGTAAGTTTAAAGACAATTCCGTTTGATTGAAAATAGTTAAGCATATATATGTTGAACAACAGCAGTGTAACTCATTCGCATATTCTGCACTGTCCGATTGGACGAATGAAACAGTAGACAACAAAAAAGAGCACAAGAGCACACCAAGCCATTTTACATGTATGATCAATCACCGGACTCGTTCGACTAAAACGCCTAAGCATATTTTACAATATTTTATCTTTGCAGCTTTGCGACTAAAATGTGTTTTTTATTTTTGTTGTAAGACGTAGAATTCAAAACAATCAGTGTCGGTTTGATGCAATTTTTTTGTTTTGTTTACACATATGTTGTTTTCGTTTTTTCACCGTTGGAAGCTGTTTGTCGCGTACAATCTACAACACAGAATCAGATTTCTGGCTAAATAAATAGTGTAGTAAAGCGTCTTTTTTCGAAAACAAAAATGGTTTTTCTTAATGAATGAATGTTTTTTGGGAGGTAAAAAATTCATAAATACTCTAAAGAGATGCGATAAGCTAAATTACATACTTTTTTAGTTAAACATTCCATTAGTATAGTAAAATAAATAATACTACATTTTGAAATCAGTGATATTACACAAAAGTAAAATATGTTCTACAACATTATGGACCATCAAAATAACCTCAATGTTATCATTCAACACAAAATGTTACTCCTACCTCATTAAAAACGAGTACATTAAATTCTAATTTTAAATAACACTTTGCACAAAACAGAATACGGGTTTTTATTTGAAACATGCTTTGCCAACAGAAATTATTACTGTTTGAATAGAAAAATGTCTAATACACTATTTTATAATCACAAGTTGGTTAGGTATCTATAAAACCATCTTCAGTTCAACGTTTTTAGTTTCCATTAAATGTAAAAGGTGTTTTGGTCGAAATTTCTATTTTTCATGTTTGATGGATCGAGATAGAAAGTTGATTGTTGGGCTTTCCTAACTCTTTATATAGAAAACATTTTTTTGAATACTTGTTAACTATTCATTCATTCACACTAAGTAAAAAATGACGAGGATTCAGCTAAAAAAATAAACTTATCATTTTAAACACAACCTTTTCGCTTAACCGTTATGTGCAGACATTTAGTTTACATTCAGAATTAATACAACGTCGGCTCTAAGAGCTTTAATGATATTCATACACTCTCTTTATTAAATTTATAATTTCTGTTAATGTTTCATGCAAATAGACACTTATACAAAAATATAATTTTTATCATATCAAACTTGAAAGGGTAAAATGTTCTTTTGGACTCGACGCGCGTTTTTTTTCTCCTCTTTGACGTATTTGCATTTTTCAAACATTTTTGTGTTTGCTCAAAATGAACTCTCGCAAGCTGTCTTTGTATGATATTTTTTTAAATTTAATTATTAAAACTATGTTTGACCTAATTTTTTCAAACCTTAGTCTCAACAAAGTTTAATATACATAATTTATAGTCGATTAAATATTATAAATATATATATATTTTTTTTAATAGAAATTATTTTATTTGAAGGTTTGCAGTATTTTTCGCGGTGACTTTGTGACTGATGTAGTCGTTTGATACCGAGAAGGATCTATATTTGACACTAAATTATAATATCGGGATCGCAAATATTATGTTAATTTAGTTCCACCCAGATATTATTCATTGGCGTTGGCGGATTTCAAATGTAAAATCTACTTAAGCCCTGAAGTGTGTAACAAAAAAAGTTTATAGTACCACCTACACATACCCTTGAAAAGATGTATTTATAACAACAAATATATTCTCAATTCATAAACTTTATACAAGACAAAACTTAACAAAATCAATACAAACGAGTGTTCTTAATGCAGAGCACATAATATTAAAATAAGATAACAGGATTATTCATAAGATAAAATTATAATCTTAAGTGTTGTTGTACACAATATAATATTATATTTAAAAGAACATAACATTCAACCCAATGTAATATAATAAGAACACCGAATACCAGACACATTAAAAACACCACAATTATGGTACTTTTACCTTCTTGGCGATGAAGGTGTATGATTGGGGTCGATTTAAGGTGTTCCAACGTATTTATGGATTTATCGAGTGGATGTAAACGACAGCTTCTAATTTCAGTTACAAATCAAATTGAAGTAGGTAGCAAAAAACGAATTTCTAATAAAGCATGTATTTTTCACGTCATACAACAAACATCATTGAAGTACATAATATCGTTTCCGGATTGAGCCTCTTTCGACACGCTGCTAGAAGTAATTTTTTTTTTCCATACCTCTTTAGAAAGACGGTTAAATTCAATATAACATGCAGGCGTCCAATGAAACGGAGAAATACAGTCTAGTAAATAAGATATATATATAAATATATATAACGAAAAGGTATTGTAAGGCAGGTACATACATCGTTGGAGATCCTCTTTGGTATATTATGCCTATTATATCATAAAATACCTTACTTGCAGCTATATCAAAGTTTTGTTATTGGTGCAAAGGCGCGTACGCTAGAGATGATTTTAACCGGATTAAACTTAAAATACAATCTGCAAATAGCAACAAATCGTAGGTATTTATATTGCGTGTCGCACAAAATTTTTTTAAGTAATTGTATTCGAGAAACACTCAGCGAGCCCGGCACAAACAACATGGGTTTTCACTGAATATTATTTCCACGAGTGCTCGGTTGCGGTGCGGTTCTTCTAATTGGATTTGCCCAATGTGTGCCACTCGTCAAATAAGCAGCTTACACAATTATACAAGATAAAATAGTTTTCCGGGCACTAATATTATATTATATTCAAAGTGCCTTATTTGGCACACTGTGCTAGGAGACATAATATACACAGTCACCGCCAAGGTTAGTTTCTACAGCACAAATTTCTCCAATATCTCAGTGGGCCGTCCACATGCTTTTGATTGGCAACGTTGAAAAGTGTGGCCAGGCTTACACGGGCAACTTGAGCAAGTAAAGTAAACGACCATTTTTATTCCATGTATTACTTCTTAGTAAAATCGATGGGAAAATAACAAATTATTATAACCGTATAGTTGGTAAATTAATTATTGTTATTTTTTAGCTTCATTAGGTAT